AGGACGATAGATGTTTGATAGGAAAGAAGGAGGAGAGATAAGGACGATAGATGTTTGATAGGAAAGAAGGAGGAGAGATAAGGACGATAGATGTTTGATAGGAAAGAAGGAGGAGAGATAAGGACGACAGATGTTTGATAGGAAAGAAGGAGGAGAGATAAGGACGACAGATGTTTGATAGGAAAGAAGGAGGAGAGATAAGGACGATGGATGTTTGATAGGAAAGAAGGAGGAGAGATAAGGACGATGGATGTTTGACAGGAAAGAAGGAGGAGAGATAAGGACGATAGATGTTTGATGGGAAAGAAGGAGGAGAGATAAGAACGACAGATGTTTGATAGGAAAGAAGGAGGAGAGATAAGAACGACAGATGGTAGATAGGAGAAAAGAAGCAAAACACGACAGAGCACCCGCCAACCACCCACGTCCCTCTCCTCCTGACACAAGACCAAAAGCAGCCACAATATTTCTTTTACCATCAGACGACACGACACAAAACTCAACACAGAAAGTACAAGGCAACCACAATAAAAACAGCAACAAAAACAAAAAACTTAATTTTTTAAAAGCCAAAATCAACCAAAACGGCCACAAAAACAAAACAATTTTGTAGCCACAAATACCAAAAACAAAATCAACAACAAAAACAAAAACAACAAAAACCAACGACAACAGAAAAAGCCACAAAGACTAAAAAATAAAATCAACCACAACAGCCACAAAAACAAAACAAAAAACCCCCAAACAATTTTGTAGTACAAATACTACAAACAAAATCAACAACAAGAACAAAAACAACAACAAATACAGACAAAAAAACAAACAACAAAAAAACCAGCGACAAAAACTAAAAAAACAAAATCAACCACAACCACCAAAAACACAGACCAAAAAAACAACCCCCAAACAAAACCAGTGAGAAAATCCCCAAATCCTCCCAACCTGGTCACTGATCTTGGCGGGCTTGCTGGCAAACTCTGGGGAGGAGGCGAAGGTGTTGAGTTCTTCCACGGCGTTGATTAGGGGGCGGGCTGCCTCGGCACACCTCACACGGTTCTCTTCTGTGAACTCACTGTCCAGGGCCTGGGGGGAGAGAGATGATTGGTTGTTTTTGTGGTCGTCTTTAGACTGAAGAGATACATATCGACAAACGTGCGTGTGTGTGTGTGTGTGTGGGTGGGAG